TTTTGTAATTTTGATAACAATTTAGAGAAGCATTATTCCATGTTACATAACAAAAAAAAAATTTGGAAAAAGTGACGATTTGTGGCAACACGAGTAAAAGGACCGTCACCTGGAGTAGAATTTTTAGGTTTTTTTTAAATGCCTATTATTTTTAAAATATGCCACATAGATTTTTTTTTATATTTTTCTGATAACCAGCACAACTTGCCTCAACACCCAGTTCCGGCTTGACGTTACATTACGGGACACCCTGTATATAGATAGATGCATTTATTAGACTTTGTTTTATTGTACAGTTGACAGCATAAAAGACATGAAGCAAAACCGTACTTATTTCAGATATTGCCAGTGCCATACAGTTTGCGTTGATGTGTCGTTCTCTATGGGTACATTGAAATTAAGATTTTCGAATAAAAAAATATAAACAGAACTATTGATAACTTGGAGCTAACAGTGTGCTAAAAATCAGTCCCAAACTATTTACAAAGTATAAAAACACTTTTTTTTTTATATTTTCTAACTAAACCGAAAGTTGAAACGTCGTTGAACTCATTAACTTCGGTCTCATCTATAATGACGTTTCAATGCCTAACGTCAAAAGCCGGCTATTTTTGTCGGTGTATGTCGGCGTTATCCATTTGACTGACGTTAGCCGAAAATAATTGGACATGTGCTCCAGAAAGATGGAGTTATGGGTCGTCAACAGGGCCGGATCTACCTATGGGCTGATTGGGCTGCAGCCCAGGGCCCCGGGGTTACAAGGGGCCCCCAGACCCCACTAAAAAGTAGGCAATACTTTGAAAAAAAAAAAAGGTCTGTGAAGTCGGTTTACGGACGATATTTTTACGTGACAACGTCATAAGAAAATATTGATTGATTTTTTTTCTTCCAATTACTTCTTCTACTCTACCTGTAGCGGAGTACTCTGTCTCTACCTGTAGCCGAGAATAATGTGGTGGCAGGCCTTTGTTCAAACGATCAAGCAAATGTTGTGATAGGGATAGAGACTTCCGATTTTTGGTTTTACAAAAGTAATACGATAAAGAATAACACAAAGTAATAAAAACCACCTGTTATGGGGCATTTTTTGGATACATTTATCAAATAACCAAAAAAACACGAATTTTAAAGCAGATTTTTTTCAAAAAGTATATTTTTTTATTATTTGTTGGCATTTTATGTATTTTTTTAGTATCGCCTGTTATTTAGCATTGTTACTGTTTTTATTTTATCAGGATATACCTCTTAGTTTAAAAGTTATTACGTTTTCTTTACAAGTATTAATTGGCAGAAAAAAAAAATTGTATGCAATTTTTAATCAATATTTTCTTATGACGATGACGTTGTCACGTAAAAATATCGTCCGTAAACCGACGCGACTTTACAGACAACTATTTTTTTTTTTCAAATTATTGCCTACTTTTTAGCGGGATCTGGGGGCCCCTTGTAACCCCGGGGCCCTTACGTTACCTAACGTAAGTAATTGGCAGAAAAAAAATCTCAAAAATTTTTTGACCTCTTTTTTGTCGATAAAAATAGGTCTAGTTTCACCTATTTTCATATGTGCACTTTATCGTGACTCACACTGTATGTATAAGAATATTATATCATTATACACTCGCGAGCAAAAGTATGGAATCACTTACATGAAGTTGTTTCCACGCGATCTTGTGTACTAACGAATTTGTTAATAACAAAAAAAGTGGCACCATTTAAAAAAAAGGCACCATTTAAAAAAAAAAAGATTAAACTTTTAACTTTAAATTGATACCAAATTCATTTAAATCACACCAGTATTTAAAAAGAAATCCCGCCTGATGTGAAGAGGTAAGGAAAAAGACATGTATCAACTGTTTGATACGTCGCGAGTTGCGGCCTTTTTTTACCGCCTATAAAAGCACGTGTTTTCGGATTTTTGCTTTCACACGTTGATCCATACACATCTCCGCTTCTTTTGACACTTTACCTGGGATTCTACACTTTCAGAAGCAGCACAAATCGTTGCAATATTGCAAGAAGGGCTCAGCCAGCGGGCTGTCGCACGTCAGCCCCACATAAGCCAGTCCTGGGTTTCGAAAGTTTTAAGACGCTTTTGGGAGACTGGTGGCTTTATCCCGAGACCAAGTTCTGAACAGCGCCGGTGGACATTGCAGAGGGATGACCGTTTTTTTCATGTCAACCTCTCTATGAAATCGTCATTTGACTGGCATCGACGTCCAGCAAGACCTCAGAAATGTTCATAGGATAGCTGTTAGCGACAGTTCGTCTGAGATATAAGCAATAGAATTTGACTCCAAAAAGGCCTGCCACAGGCTCGAAACTGACGGCAGGTCACCGATAAGCACGCTTTCAATTAGCTCGCACTTATTTTGATGGGAAGGCGAATAATGGAGGCGAGTTTTGTTCTCCGATGAATGCAGATTGTGTTTGCAGTGCAGCAGTCGAAGAGGTCGGGTCTATAGGCGGCCTGAGGAGCGATTTGTGCAGTGCTGGTTCGCTTAAACAGTGGCTTATGGGGGTGGCTTGCTCGACTTTCCATCAAGATGTGTACGAGCAAATTGAAAGCGTGCTTATCGGTGACNATTCTTATTCTTATTCTTAAGTGCCTATTCACTCTCGCCTTGAAAAGGCCCGGATTATAATTTTAGGGAAAGACAGCAGCAGGCAACGAATTCCAGTCCCTAGCTGTTTGCATTATAAAAGAGTCATCGAAACGCTTAGTGCGCTTAGGATGACAGGAGACAGACAAGGGTTTAAAAACTTTAAGAAAAGATTATGCTCCACGGACAATAAATATAAATTAAGGGGGCCTATCTTATGAGCAAAAGCGGGCTGGAAGACGTAACGTGGCCTCTTACTAGGTGGACCGACGATCTGGTAAAGGTCGCGGGAAGAGCCTGGATGCGGGCAGTGCGGGACCGTTCACTGTGGAAAACCTTGGGGGAGGCCTTAGTCCAGCAGTGGACGTCATTTGGCTGAAACGAACGGGAAAGCCATTGTCCAGACATCGACCCATCATCATCATTAACATCAGACAAAAGACCCAAGGATTTCCACAACGACTGGTCCCGCGCTGGACGCATCAAGGTGCTACCCGCGACCTTCACCAGATCGTCGGTCCACATAGTGGGACGATAATGTTGTAGTAGGTCTTTCTAGGGTTACAGCGAGTTGTTCTCTGTGCTGTTTACTTCCAGCGGCTCCTTGCAACCATAACTATTACCAGGTCGTTGGTTACCCATTGCGTCTTCGAGCCATGTTTAGGTACTCGAAAACCTTTCTTTCCCCAATGCTATTTTGATTCTGTGATCCACTCGTAGCTTGGTCATTACTTTAATAATTTATGGCTAACCATTATATTTTTCTTTGACAGTGACTTACAATGGACCTATTTTCCAAAGCTAGCTAGTTTAGACGGCTATCTGCCAAGGGTGGTGAGTCAGCAAGCTTATATTAATAACTTTCGGCTTGAAAGAGATCTTTATTTTTTGTGTAACAACAATAGAAATTGAAAAGAGCAAAGTTCAGAAAAAAATGGGACTGAAGTGGTTGATACTTAAACAGAATAAATTTTAGGTTTACTTTTTAAATACATAGTTACTTAGAAGAATAATTTAATAAGATACCAACCTAAATCCTTTCTCAAAAATTTTTTGAGTTGAATCAATTTTCATTGCATCACAGATAAGCCTGACTCGAAAACGAGGTTATTAATTTTAAATTCTTCCTAAATTTAGTTCTGAAAGTTTTCCATAAAAGCAAAATATCTCTAAAAACGTGTCAAATCATTTATTGCTCTTTCTATCAATAAATAAGCAATACGCATCTCATATAGCTGTTTAATTTTTCTGTGTGCCCCATTTGAGAATCGAACTTGGTATCTTCAGATTTAGAGAGTACAACTTAAAGGGTTTTCCCTCGTACATTTCCAGACGCAAGTAAATTTTATTACTCGACCTACAAAAGCAATATCACTCAATACATCTCTGTGATATAATATTCTTAGAATCACGTACAAATACGGATGACTGTACAACAAGATAAAATTATGTAGTATCTTATCTATTTGAAATAGGAGTTCTTTTACAACAAACATTACAGTCTGATGTGCGGTCGATTGTACAAGTTTCCCGCACAAAAAACACGAACGAAAAACATACATATATAAAAGGGACAGGAAACTAATTTCGCTTGTCCGTAAGGCTTTTGATAAGAAATAGAAATAATATTTGCTTTGTGTGATTTTGTTTGACGCAAAAATGTTATTTGGGTACGAGGTACAGTTGACCGGAAAAACATAGTGATTTTATTACGTTGTCTCGATGTGAAGAAGGCTCACTATTGGCTGAAGCTGCTTAGAATGATTTCCCAAACTGATGTCCAGTTTTTTGTTGGATACTTTGCCTACTCAAAAACAATAATTATGTAGGTTAAGGAAAATTAGAAGAAGAATGTCTTTGTTTACTTCAAACATTCAGACAAAATGTTCAGTTCTATTGTTTATTTTTAATGTTATTTCCAAAATATACGCAAACGGTCCGATTATTTTGTTTTTTGACTGTCGTATTTAAGTACTTGTATAATAATGTAGAGTTTGTCATCAAATCCCTTTACTCTGATTTTGATAGTATATTCTAAAATGACTGTACCCTTTTGGTTTAATAAACGTTATAGCAGGTAAGCAAGAGTATTAATTAACCGTTGGAAGTAGTTAGTAATGTTCCTTTATATGACATAATTATTTTACTGTATTGTAACAGTAACTACCTGAGATTATGTATCGCGCAGACATTTATTTTCTGAGTTTGTTGCTGGTTAATTAGAAACAAAGATGGAAATAATTAAATGTAACATGTACTATTGTTTTTCCCAAAGTTCATTTAAGCATCAGGCATACAATATGGTGTAAATATAGCGTCAGTATGATGTGACATTTCTACTAGAATTAACAGGTATGTGTGTTGTGCTTCAATGGATTCGTTTAGCCGTCACTGCGTCGGTTAATTGAGCCATATGAGAGCCAAGCACACGATGCGTTGCACCGCAATCTTCGTGTGCCCGCTACATATTTCTATGTAAGACAACGCAGCGACATCGCACTGCCGCCGCAACGCATCGTGTGATTTGGCTCTCAGGCTATAAACAAGGGCATTCAATACATACAAATAAATAACAATCTTACCTGTATATAAATACTGATAATATTGCCAGCACGACGACCACGGAGCTGAGGACGATACTCAATATGGCGTACACGGGAAGCGCTGCAACAAAATAATAGTATTAAAAAAAAAAGAGATATTGGTTCACTTATCCACCTCGAAATAATTCCACCAACATTATGATTACAAAGGGTGTCCCGTTGGTGGTGTAGCAAACAAAGGATTGATTCTACTGGTCATTGCTCAAATGCAACAACTTTCCAAAAATAAGTAAGTTGAAATCTTTCAAAAGATTAACCTTTTCATATAATTAGTGAGGGGACGACAATATTTTGTTGAGAATTTGGATATTGTTCCCGTACGAAAGTTGTTGCATTTTGCATTTGAGTAACATAATTTTACAATAATTATGCACATCTGAGCCATAAAGAAGAATTTTATTCAAATGTGCATTTGCTTTACATTGGAACAACTTGTATGACAAACTACCTATTATCTTCAATGTAGAGTAGGTAGCACTTTAAATAATAAATTGACTTATTTACATAAAACGCAAAATACATTTACACAGAGCTCTTTGCCAAAGAAATATTAATGCCAAATGTTTGATATTAGAAAAGAAAGAAAAATTGTTTCTCTGACTCATATATGGAAACCCCTTTGGTTAAAACAAAGTTAGTCAAAGTTGAAAACTTCTGCGTTTTAATTTGTGATGTGTTTTCTTTATTACATAGAAAACAATTGTTTGGATAATTATTCTTAACTAGCTGACCCGGCGAACTTCGTACCGCCTTAGCGTAGAGATTTTCTTTATATTTTTTTCCGTAAAAACCTTGTACAGAGTATTAGAAAACTACAAAAAAAAATCAGCCAANACAACGATTAGTGCTGCTTCTGAAGGTGTAGAATCCCAGGTAAAATGTCAAAAGAAGCGGAGATGTGTATGGATCAACGTGTGAGAGCAAAAATCCGAAAACACGTGCTTTTATAGGGTAAATAGGCCGCAACTCGCGACGTATCAAACAGTTGATACATGTCTTTTTCCTTACTTCTTCACATCAGGCGGGATATCTTTTTAAATACTGGTGTGATATAAATGAATTTGGTATCAATTTAAAGTTAAAAGCTTAATCTTTACAATGGTGCCACTTTTTTTGTTACTAACAAATTCATTAGTACACAAGATTGCGTGGAAACAACTTCATGTAAGTGATTCCATACTTTTGCTCGCGAGTGTAGAAACAGTTTTTTGGCATGGCTATTAGTTGAGTACTAAGATAGGCCCCCAAGTAGTTTCAGCCCAGGGCCCCACAAATTCACGATCCGGCCCTGGTCGTCAATCGTCAAATGTGAATCATACTGCTTTTGAAATAAGTCCGACACAAACGGAGAGTAGATGGAGGTCTATTTACCTTTATTACAAAAATCCCATCCATTTATCTATACTATCTATACTAATATTATATATGCGAAAGTAGCTCTGTCTGTCTTGCTTTCCCACCTAAACCACTGAACCAATTTTGATGAAATTTGGCATAGAGATAGTTCAAGTCCGAGAAAGGACATAGGATAGTTTTTATCCCGGTTTTTGAAACAGGGACGCGCACGATAAAGTTTTTCTGTGACAGACAAAATTCGACGCGGGCAAAGCCGCGGTCGGAAATCTTGAAATATGTTCCAGATGGTGTTAGGTATAAGAAAAAGATTCACATTATTATTTTTGTTGTCAATTTAAGTTATAAAAAGAAGAAAAAAAAGGTTTTCTTACTTTACTCCTAGCTATACACACTAAATGTAAAATTCTTGTTTAGATTTTATGAGTAGGTATGCGTTTGGTCTTTGATATTGTACATACTCAAAAGATAAAATATCTCAATTAAAAACATTCGCAATTTTGTTTCTCTCGAAAGAATCACTTCTCGTCCAAAATCAAATTACTCCTTTTTGATGTCGCGTTGATAAAAAAAGTTAATTTCACGGGGTGTACCCGCGTGTTACGAGGTAAATAACTCGAAATGTTACAAATAACTTTCCCTGGGTTATTTTGAAGAATTAATTAAAGCTATAAAAGTATACATTCGACTGTTTATAGACACAATATCCCTTTATGATAAGAGAAATAAATAATATCAAACAATCTAAGTGTGCAATAACGAAAGTTCTAAAAAGCCATGAGTCAAATAGAAACTGTTTATTGTAACAAATAGCAAAGTGAATTCCTAGAATTACTTTACTTTTTCATCCTCAACATTGAGGATAAATTTTCAAATAAAATTGTAATAAAATTAGTTTTAGTTCAATTAATGTTAATTTGGCACGGTTCCATTGAGATCCGAAGTTCCATTATCTCAAGATGTCTCTCGTTCCATGGAAATTAACGTAAACTGCTAAATGCGATTAATTAAAATTCCAGGAATATGTAGAGCTACTTTAAATAATCAAAGTAAATATTTACATTCACTCCTACCACCGTTAGTCGTCTTGATTCCAGGTTATTTACTGTTTAGTAAACACAATAAAGCGGTTTATCTTTGCCTTAATTGAATGATTAAAGTACTTGCCATCTATTACAAGTTCTTCATAACTTGAGAAAATCGAATAGCCCATGGTGGGAATCGAACCAGCGACCTTTCGCTTGGTGACTGCTTTGACCATCTGAGCTACGACATTGAGTAAACACGGTCGAAATTTTCAAGTGTAACAAACGCGGTTGCGTTTTTGCGCTGGGTCACACTAGCTAGCTATTTTGTTATTTAATGGTTAAAGGTATTAAAATCAGAATACCCTTTCCGATAAATCAAGGCATTCCATAATGTAACCTTATAACAACGGAAAAGTTAGAAGATAACAAATACCTCCAGCCCACCAGACCAGAAACGTTCCAGCTCAAATATCCAATAGAGCATAAAATGGAAGGATGTTAGACAAACTTATGAAGGTGTTCGAAGTTATAAGGCCTTTATGTTTGGCTTGCAGACGAGTCAAAATAATTATATTATGTCTACTACTTATCTGAAAATATTTCACTAAGAACTTATTACAAGAACTTAAAAGCTCTTCATTCAGACATTACACAGATTTTCCAAAGAAAAATAGAAATTCGTGGGTGGTCTGTAGGAGGTACGAGTATTATTAATTTTTTTATTACAGCGTAGGGGCATGACAATTCAACCTGAAAATAATAAGGTTTGTTTTAGCTTGGTGGACTGAAAACCTTTCTTAGATTTTGACTCTTTGTGCTGCCCAAACCACAACTGGTGAAGGTCTCGAGAAGTACCTGGTCGTTATGGAAAACTTTGGGGGAAGCCTTTGTCCAGCAGTGAACGTCATTTGGCTGTAACAACATGCTGCCCAATCATCACATCATAGCTGATCAAGGAAGGATATAAATTAATTCATAATTAATTCCACAAAAGACAGACCATGTCTCAAAATTTTCTTACATAAACATCGAAAACTTCCGTTCTCTACAAAACTGTAAAAATTCATATACGAAGCTTGTTTACTGAATATAAGGTTATTTACATTACAGTAGACGAAATCCAGCACTCAGTATATTACGCAACAAATATTTATTCCCAATCGGTAATATTGAAACGCAATCGATCAAAAGTTATTTACTTTGTATTCATTTCGTCGGGTGTAAATATTGCATCAGAGTTTTCAGTTCAAAGGGACGGGTTTTATTGAAATAATACCTGGAAAATTTGTTTGCGAATGTGGTATTTATATTCACTAGTAAAAAGGGATCGTTCGAAAATATTCGACATTTCCCATAGCTGTGATAAAGTCGTAAAAGTAATTTATTTGCAGCAAATAGGCTTTTAAAAAGCGCTTTTACACGTGTCAGTATTACTTTATAAACCCTACCTCTGCTTCGGGAGTTACAGGTAGAAAAGGGTTTTGTGAAATTTTATTTACTGTTAGATAAAATGGATGGCTCTATTCGGTGATTTTTTTTCAGGGCCAACTTTAGAAGCAATTGAATACTAGTTTCCTAAACGATTTTGAACTCGATTTTATTTAAAAATTCGATGTCATCGTGACAATAAAATTGATGTCATACTTATTTTTCAAATGCCTCAAATTCCTAATATTAATGCTGAGTTGCACCACCTAATTTTGACCATAACTATAACGATAAAATCGGTGTTTTTTGTATGGAGTTTGACAGATTTCTGACGTTTGTCAAAGTTAAAGTAAGATGGTGCAACCCAGACTTAGTCGTGCTATGTTAGTAATACCGTGTACTTAACTTTTTGAATAGTTACAACATTATTTAATTAGACGATTTAATAAATTAATAAAAGCAACTTTTGGTTAAACAACATTACTTTAAAGCGGCTAAAGTGGACTTACAAAGTTATCACACAGACACGCCTACCCTACAGCGTTTGAAAACAAATTAGTACAACTTACATCAACCTACGTTTACGGTCACTTTGTCGGTTAAAATAGATTTAATTTTCACCTCTCAGACCCCAGAGGTCAGAGGTTATGTTGTTTGTGAGGTACTTGTCTCACTGACATACCGAAGAAATTGACACGGTATCATGGATCATTATGATTTCTAACACTGAGCTCTGAAATCCTGGTGACGGATTTCAACTAAATCCCCCATAAGTGTCAGCTGTCATGCATAATCGGATTACAATTCTATTGGCGAACTTTGGCCACTAATAAAGTGGCTGACGTAGCACAATTGAAGCGAGCCTTCAGAAACATTAAAAAGTTTTAAAAGGACATACTTTTAAGCTACGATCTCCAGAGTCAGTCGTGTTACCATAAGCTAAACTGAACTTTCACGAAAATAGTTGTAATGGATGCTATTTCATCATTAGTAGGCAGATATTTTTTACCTCTGGTATCTTGAGGAATTTTCAGGTTCATAGAGGGAAATAAGGAAAATATTTCTTATTTACTTCTGCCTAAAGTGTCTCAGTGTAACAGACTCGGTATTGCAACGTACGTGACTTACCCAGAGAGGTCAAGATTACTGGGACTTAGTTGTCTTTTCTTTACATTACCAACTAAGCCTGGCCCGTAATGGAGGTGTTAATGATTGGTGTTGTATACAGGATGTCCAAATTGTTTTAAAACTTTTCTAGGATCCACATCATCATCATTTTAGTCCCAGGATGTCCACTGCTGAACATAGGCTTCCCCCAATGATTAATTGTACATCGCCTGTTTGGTAGCGGTAGGTTTTATGTATTGTACAGACGACATTGAAAAGATTCTTTCTTGCGCTGTTTTTTCTCAGCACCATTTATTGTCCCGAAGCAATGCCTACGGTTAAAGTGATACTGGGATGTGTAAAAGCGCTTTTTAAAAACCTATTTTATTTGTATAAAATAAATAAATTTTATGAGATTTTACAACATTATAATATTGAGATGTTTTTATTTTTGATACAAATACCATTTATTGATGTGTAGTCCCTAAGTCGCCTCTTACGACACCCGCGGGAAGAGTAGGGGTTGGTGACAAATGTATTCTACTCTGCCGTCACCACACGGCTTACGCGGGTGTCGTAAGAGGCGACTTAGGGACTACACATCAAACAGAGAATGGGCAGCAGCGCTCTCTGAAAAACATCAATCTTTTAAACTGCGATCTCCAACCCGCCTGCCTAGCGTGGAGATTATGGCAAAACCCTCCACTATAGTGGAGGAGGCTCATAGTCCAGCAGTGGACTGTAAACTGTTGATGATGATGATTGATGACCATTTATTACCATAACATAAAATGCCCGTGTTTGTTTAGCTTGTTGTGCTGTCGTATGCATTTAAGAATCAAATTAAATTTTGACTTAAAAAAATTAAGAACAGAGAATTTGCTGAATATGCCAAAAAATCTAAGTTAACTTTGAACTTCGCGATCTTCCAAGAAGTGCGGTATCCAAGCAACCCTAATAATACACCCTGTAAGTATTAAGTGGAAATGGTAACCGATACATTACCGCAGAGTTATACCAGGAAATGGTAGCTTAAAACTACATACGCTGTAACTTCGTTTACTTGTTTCCTTGAAATTAAGCAATATTTAGTTAGATAAGCCTTTCCTAGTTCCATTTCTTATTTTCATAACGGAAAAGAAATAAAACAAGGCTGGGACTGACTAAGTTTGAGTAAAGTCCCATTTTCTTGTGGTCTGGGACATTCTTTCTCATTAACTATTTTATAAAATGACAGGCGAAACCAAATTCATAATTAAAATAGATTCAAGTAGCGATTGGTTTAAATATTAAAACTAACTTTCAAATACGTTTCTGTATAAAATGAGTTAAAAAAACAAGCCCAGTAGGCCTAGGATGCGCGCCGCGATAAGCGTTTATAGCGCCATTTTATCAATTTAATGCGATAAGCCCATACATTTGTCATCAAAAATCAGCGATAAGATTTTATCACGGTGCGCATCCTAGCCCGGCTGTAAGACTTTGTGACGTCGAGGAACATAAACAAAACCAAACTGCTAAATACTTCAAAAGTGATTTTCTTTAATAACGGTGAATTATACTCAAAGCTCCTGTTCTAAAGTATGCCATAGCAAAGTCCGCTTAGAAATACACCTAGCAATTAAGAAGATTAAATTGCGTCATGAAAAAAGCTTTGCGAAAGCTACCTCTGGAGCTGAGAGAACGCTCGGAGCTTTTACACTCGACAACCTATTGTTTGGACAGTTTATTTATTACAGTAAATATTGCGTAGTATTTGTATAGTAAAAATAGTAATATAAAGTACTAGCTTTCCGCCCGCGGCTTCGCCCGCGTGGAAATTTGTCTGTCACAGAAAAACTTTATCGCGCGCGTCGCTGTTTCAAAAACCGGGATAAAAACTATCCTATGTCCTTTCCCAGGACTCAAACTATCTCTATGCCAAATTTCATCAAAATCGGTTTAGTGGTTTAGGCGTGAAAGCGAGACAACAGACAGACAGAGTTACTTTTGCATTTATAATATTATGTACTTAGTATAGATTATTTTAGCATTTTGTTTATTCCGATGTGCTCGCGCGCTGCGTAGGTTTTTACCTACTCATTTTGATAATTGATAAGATGATAAGGTTACTGTATCATAAAAGACACCTTCGTCATTTTACACAACCCCATGGTAACCCTTGAAAAAGAGGCTGACAACAAATGGTGACTGAGTTTCTTGAGCTGCTTCTTCTCAGCATTGGCCCATTTACTGTCACGAAGCAGTGGTAGGGTTAACGCTACTGCAACTTAAAGTAATACTGGAACGTGAAAGCGATTTTTAAAAACCTTTTCGTAGAAAACAGATTAAATTTCATTGATTAATTTGATGAATGAATGAAACCGTATCGTGTAAAAGTGCTTCGTGTACAAACAATTCGCTTTTTAGGCAAAGGCCCTAAACGTGGTGTTGTTTACTTCCGTCACTTGACAGTTTTCTTTTAATTATTCTTCCCGGAGATGCTCCGTTGCGATTATGCGAATGTATAATTAATTTGTTATATTTGTCGTCCTTTGGGCCGCAATTAAGTAATTAAATGCCATTTAGGAAAGGATAGAAAGGAAAGGTAGAACGTAGTACCGCGGTGTAAAGTGACCTTCAACAAGAAAAAGGCCTTTTAATCAACATTTTAATGTGTGAAATCAGTTGTAAACAGAACGAACTTATGTCTGCAGCTGTACGCTAATAATGTTTTATAAAAAATATAATTCAAAAGTGAAAAAGTTTTTTGTTTTGATTTTTACCTATTTTTTTATTTGACCATAGAATAAAATTATTTTGATGCAAAAAGCTTTTTCTATTTTATATTGAATACATTTATACTCGTATCTATTGTGTTCCTCGTCACGTTAGTTTTTCAATGCAGAGAAAAACTAGCTGGAATATTTTAGGCTATTTTTACGAATGCCCAGTTGTTTAGAGTTATTTCCTCTGTTTTTCAACACAGACAAATGTAGTCTAATGTGTGTCAACTATACTAGTACACTGTAAATCTACTGTATCGTTTGCTAACATGTCTATATGGTTGTCAATACTCACAATTATCCGGACAGAGTGACCCGTCGAACCCACACTCGGGGGTATCCGGTGGGGGCATCAGCCGCCCGCCCGCCCAATGTATAGGGCGGTCCGGTATGAATTGTAACGAAGAATTTGCTGCCACGTATGTTGCGACGACCTGTGGATAGAGAGAAGTTTTAATAGGTAGAAAGTTTGAGTATATAGGATCTACCTTAGATTAGGTATGGCAGGGTATAAGGGCAGAAACTGCGTTAAGCGGACGCCCGCGCGGTTTCATTCAAAGTGCTCCGACAAGGGCGACAAGTTCATATTATATCCTTACTTGTCTTGTCGCCCGCATGCTCTTCCCCTTGTATCCATCACCTACTGTGTATGGTTCGATAACATTCGAGTCGTTACAACTGTACCCTGTTACAACCGTACCCAGTCTAACCTATATAAAAATTAGTGAACTGGATTTTGAGCTAATAGTCGTATAATAGGCGCAAAAAATAGGCATCGTCACATTAGACCGCCTAAAAAGACATTGGATGGTTTGCCAAGCAAAGCAATGGCCAACATTGACCTTAATAATGGAACACATAGATAAATCTATTGTAATATTTTTGTTGGCACATAATATTAGGTGTAATTATGATTGCGACCAGTATTACTGGTAAGCGTATTTGTCTGCCTTGTGATAAGTAGGTAATTGGTTTTTACTTCCTTTCTTTCATGGTATAGTCAATAGACAACATATATTATGTTGTAAAATAGCTGAACAAGAATGCCATGGCGTTTAGCTTGATGTGCTATTGTCCAAAAATATCAAGTTAAAAATAAACATCATAGAACAAGATCGGGAAACATGTAACTGGCGAAAAAACCAATTGGATATTTTGCTTGTTTTTCCGCCGTGCACTTGTTTCGCGATGTTCATTTGTTTTTTCGTTAGTTACATATTTTGCCAATTGTTTTTCCAAAGCTTATTCGATTGTTTTCTATTCGTTCATTTTCAATGTCTTTCGAATGTTCAAATAATTTAGTTTGGTACAATTTCTAGTGCTGTAATATTTTTGATCACAACTATACATAATGCCATAGAACAGTATTTTGTAACCTTTCCTCCAGTATGTAAGCCGATTCAGAAATTGACCTGAATCAGTAATATAAGTCCAGTCCAGTAACTTTGTACCCCAAAATATTTCATCCGATTTAAAAAATGAGTCCTCAGCGGAAGTGTGTGGAAATCCTATGAGAATTTTCCCATGCCTCCATCCACGTGGAAATAATCTCATAATACTCCCTTTGTCTTTTCACAGTGAACGAAATAAACTTAAAAGAATAGCACATCTGCTCTGTTAGATATTCTATTACACTTGTATTAATAATATTTGTGATATTATTAAGATTGTCACTTTCCGGAAATCCTCTTCAGCCTAGCTAAAATAATAAGCTTGTTTAGGAGTGTTTTCACAAATATTGAGTTACTATAAAAAATATAGTATCTACCAACAATACCTAAATGGGTCGTATATTTTTCGTATAACTACAATAACGTTTGGCAAATCTTTACAATATTAAAACATGCTTCTATGCTTTTTATTCATCAAACATACTCACATTTATAGCAATTTGACCGACTTCCTCGTTCACATAAGTCATAAATTCATAATAATATACTTTGCGAGAAACGGAAACGTAAAAGATTACAATGTAATCAAATTGATTCGCAAACGTAATTTTACTTGATTTATTTATTATCTTTCCTTGGAATTGCCAAAGTTACTTCGGAATTTAATAATCATTTGCTAATGCTACTTAATATAATTACTGTATGTATATAGACAGAGAGATAAGTATTCTTAAGATAAGACTATACATCCAATTCAGGATTGCTTTTACTGATGACGTAACAAATGAAGATGACTTTATATGGCTGATAGGCTACTAACAAACATAATATCAGAATGTATATTTCGTTACAAAATCGTACCTGTATTAGTCCTGTATATCAACTAAAGTCCAACAGTTAGCTAGGAGTGTAAAAACGCTTTTAAAAGCCTATTTGCAGAAAATATTGTATTACTTTTATGTCCTTTCTTTATATTTTTCTGCAACAAATATCCAAAATATTGCTGTATCATTCCACAAAATGGTCACGATCGCCATGATAGGTTTATCCGAATTTCCCATAGAAGACAATCTTCATGGATTTCACAATCTTGATCGTCTGGGGCTTTGGGAAACTAATCTAAATTCGCTGAGAAGTTTCCTGTAAGGGCCATATTAGGTAATGCGATAATAATAATGGATATCAACAATAGGAAAAGCCTGAATATGTATAACGCGTCAAAAGATCTTTTTTGCATTTTAAAAACCCCTTTTATAAACATTTTTATTGACTCCAAATGCTCCTAAATTAATACAATAATGTAACTGTGCAAAGCAGTGCAAAAAGCTCATTTTTATCAGCCTTTCAAGAGCTTAGAGAGGAATAGTATTAAATTGATGCGAGCTATATGATATTATTCCAAACATTCTTATCTATAATAATTACCAATTGTAAGGCAAATGAAGGAATTAATATTATATAATTTAAAAATTCATGGATAAACTTACTTTTGCAAGACATTCGATCACCGTAACTACTTAGTCATAACAATAAATAAACAAGTAACAATGTAGAGATATTTCAGGTTTCAAAATATTCAACTTGTAGAGTTATAATGTTATACATATTACTACCACAGACTGCGGTAATACTAATTAATCCCTTTGGCGAACTAGACTGATCTGCTAGCAGCATGTTAATTTGCATACTAAATTTATACAAACATGGCAACTCTCGTTAGCGGGCGGACTCTCTTTGTATTGATTTAATCAAAGTTCATTGTGTTTTGTGTATTAATTTTATGTCTAACTAGCTTTCCGCCCGCGGCTTCCCCCGCGTTGATTTTTGTCTGTCACAGAAAAACAATATCGCGCGCGTATTTGCTCACCGTTTAGACCTACCCTGGACTACGACAAACATTTTAAAACCAAAATCAGCTCAATCGGCCCAGCCGTTCTCGAGTTTTAATCAGACTAACGAACATCAATTCATTTTTTTATTAGATAGATTAGCTTTCCCGGCGAACTTCGTACCGCAGTGCCATTAGATACACTGAGAACATTACCCTCCTTTTTCGGTGATAGGTAAAAAGCCTGTATGTATAAATTAATCTAGGGTGTCCTGCGGAGAGCTGTAATACCTCTACAACCGACGTGAACGCCTCAACGTCACTACTACCGCTCTGCCAAGAGCGGAACGAATAGAAGAAGTCAGCTACCTCCATACCAAATATTAAAAACCGTTCATAAGTTACCATGTTTGTTTTAGTTTTAGAGAAGAGATAAAGTTAATGTCTTAAAATATTTTTTACAATGATCCAACAAAATCCTTTTTCCAGTATCTAGTATACCGACTGTAAAACAAAATAACTTTTATAGTTAATAATGATCGTTATTTTCATTAATTTGATGACTCTACAGTCAACATTGACTTCATTCACTAATGATCGTCCTTTTCATTAATTTCATGACTCAACATTGACTTCGTTCATTATATTCAGCAAAACATCCCTTGCAGCGTTATTCAATAAAAAATCTCCGAGGAAAGTCGGCAAGTAATACCATTTAGATAATAATTGACTTCTACGTCGACATCGAGTGAAAGAAAACCTAGTAGAGACAAATAAAATGTTATAGAGACCGCATAAAATATTGCATTTGAAAAAATAAACACAAAAGGACAATAATACAAATGGATGGTTGAAGTAAAGTTAGAAAACTTCTACTTAGGTACGTACACAGTGGTGATCTACCATGGTTTAGATCTGCTGATGATGCTGTATTGAAATCAACTACGAAATACTGGACGGATACCATTTTTTAACCGACAACAAAAGGAGGAGGTTCTCAATTGGGTTGGTATTTTTTATTTTATAAAATAAACTTCGTTACATTTAAAAAAACTTGTTTCAAATAATCTTTGAGCAAAATAAAGTAATTAATTAAAAAGTATTTATTTATGAAGGACAACAAAAATAATAAAGTAGCGCTTGTTGTCACAAGTAGTCTGTTTCCATAATGGAATAACGGAACCTAGACTGCGTCGAAAAGAAAAATTACATCAGAGAACAGACTCTGTAGTAAACATCATTCATGAACAGTCTGCAGAGAGCTTAAGTCACGAGGCTTAAACGGTTTTTTTCTAGTTTTTTTTTTATGTGACAGGAGGCAAACGAGCAGACGTATCACCTGATGGTAAATGATTACCGTCGCCCATAGACACCAGCAGACCCAGGTACATTACAGGTGCGTTGCCGGCCTTTAAGGTGAAGATACGCTCTCTTCTTGAAAGCTTGCAGGTCGCATCCGCCCTGAAACACCGCAGACGACAGTCCATTCCACAGTTTGGTTGTACGCGGCAGGAAGTTTCTAGAGAAACGTACTGTTGTGCACTGCCAACCATCTAAGTGATGTGAATGAAAGTGCTATCGGGTAGATCGATGGCGAAAAGTTATTCTATTGTCAAGTTATACAAAGTCCAATGAATGGTAACGTCAGCTTGATGTTTTACCTGACATACAAGCAATGCGAAATTTCGCATTGAAACCAAGCAACATTGTCTACAAGCAGTGAAGTGGCTTTCGGAACATCGCTGCTGGCATTGTCATTTGGAACGAAAGATTAATCTCCTCCAGCTTTTCCTGGCTGACTGTACATTTTGTTTGTTCACCGACCTATTGTGCTGTAAACAGGCCTGGAGAGTCATTTTTAGAGGTTATTTACCTTATTCAGGTTATAAAGTGTTTTAGAAGAAATATTTACAAAGTCGATTATGTTTTCATGCTGAAAGAAGGATGATCCATCACTATCCATTTTGCAGTCTATCTTTATGTCGGCGAGCTGTCTAGCACCATAAACGAATCATTTAGAGAGTTAACATTTTCACAAAAAGTGTATTTTATACTTTGGGGGCGTCCATAAATTACATGAGACTTTTAGGGGGGGGAGGGGGTCAACAAAAACCTCACTAAATCTCACGTGGGGGAGAGGGGGGGTCTCAGGAAATATCACGTAATTATTTCCGCAAGAAATAGAGAAATAGAGTTTGCCAGAAAACTGGGTTTA